TTTTCAAACAAAAAGGGCACCTTTGCTGTTAATTTAGTATTTACAACAACATTAGCTTGTACAAAAAGGGCACTTTTCATCACAAAAAAGGGCACTTTTCATCACAAAAAAGGGCACTTTTAGTCCTACGTCCCTAGCTTCGACGCTATTCCCTGAATGTCTACGAAGTCCTGTCTTCTTGTGATATTTGCTCATGGGCATGGCCGTGTATAAAACAGAAGAGTTTACTCTAATGCCAACAAAATTTAAGTCTGCATTTTAGGCAGAAAGACCATGTAAAACTGTACAATATGCTACTGTACAAGTTGTACAACTTTTCTAGCTTATCGCTTTTCGTTCTCCAGATATTTTGGTTTAATTTGATATGTAAATCTATGACATTCAGTACAAGCGAGTAAAACGTATTTTCAAACTGGTGGCAGTCTCGTCAATGGTTCAAAAATTATGAAATAATTCAAATCAGATTTGTTGATTCCTTTGACAAACTTGCGTTTAATAATTTAAGTATCTTAAATAAAGGTGACGTATGTGCGCGGAACTCTGAAAGTATTATTACGCGCACTGCTTTCTTTTTCAAGGTCAGAGGCTTCATGTTTGTAATATGATTATTACCCCCACGTCAAAACGTCAGTACGTAAGAAAAGAAAATGTAATTGTATAATAAATGTGAAGCAATACTTGAGTAAATACAAAATTACGGAGTTTTAATAAAATACAAATTTCCCTGGATATCTTTTTTAAAAGTTTCAAAATATGATTCTTCTAATTTAGATGACAGTCCATAAGAATACCTAAGTAATTATACTGTGTTTTTCTGTGATTTGCTGGTCGCATATTTTGAAATTAAGAATACGATAGGGATTTTTTTGCACCGGACGAAAGAGAACAAAGTTTGACTTTTTCGACGTTCATTCAACGCTAACTCACTAGCATATGGCCATGAATTTTGAGTAACTGTTCATTCAAATTCCTTTCTAATCAAATGTAGCTCAAATGTATCTTAATAAAATTTAGTCCTTCAGAAGCGTGTGCTGAACGAACAGAGAAAATGCAATACCACCATTTATCACCACGTTCTTCCAATAAAAATGCTCTATTATAAATCAGTATCAATTTTAATGCACGAAATCAATAACAATTTAACTCCTCCTAATATAACCAACTTATTTAAAAGGATAAGCTCAATCCATTCTTATAACACTAGAGCATCAAAAGCTGAAAACTTTTATTATCAATATTCGAGACTAAACTGTCAGAGGGATTCTTTTTCCCGTGTTGGTACGAAAATATGGAATAATATTCCTGACAACTTACGTAAACAATCTTTAATATTATTTAAGAAAAGTATTCATCGAATTCTCTTGCAAGTTCTTGTCGAGGTGGATTTTTATGTTGATATTTCTGAAATAAATTATAGGATTACCAAAATTCAAAATAATTAAAGTGAATTTACGAACATTTATACGACCGACTTCAGTTAGTTATCCAAGGCATGACAACTTTATATCAATATTCGGCAACGATTTTTACCCATATTTATAAAAAAAAAACCAAAAACATCTTTTTGGACTTCATTTATATGTTATTAATATCTAACCTATAACAATACCGCCCAGATTAGCTTATGCTAGTTGCGGGTGTGTTAATTTATGAAATTATCAACCTATATTAAATGAATAAACATTGAAATAAAAGCTTCGAGATTTCTCAATTAGAACAATACAAATTCGAATCATTAGCAAATAAGTGAAAATCTAAACTAGTAGCAGAATTACTAAAGTCATTTATATATAACAAAAAAAGAAGTGGTCCCAAGACGGAGCCCTGCGGAACACCGCATGTTATGTTTACAGTATACTGTATTTCCGATCAGACACAAGATTGCCAATTTACACAAATTATTTTCTATTGATTAAGTACGAGAAACACCATTGCTATGGTAATCCACTAATACCATAATGCTCAAGTTTTTTTTAAAATTAATTAAACTTTCTCTCTGTTACTGGAACGAAACAGGAAGCCATTTTGTTTTGGTCCGGAGGTGAACAGTATATTATTTTGTTAATACACTGCAAATTTTAAGGAGTCTGATCATCTCCAAAAGTATTATTCTGTCACCGATTTTGGTGACAAAATAACACTTTTGGAGTTAATTTAATCAACTCCAAAAGTACTATTTTGTCACCAGTAAGGGTTTAACAGAGTTGATGAGACACATTGAAATTTACAGTGTAGTACTTAGGTATATAGATGCAAAATTTGTTTGTATAGAGTACTTATTTGCTGAAAGGCTGTCGTTATTTTTATTTAAATAAGATTAAATAATAATTCCCGAGTCACGGGCGGAGAGCGTAGGGAGAAGCCCGTGGCGAGGATACTAATTCCGCTCGGCTATGTAGAACCGGGGGATGCAAAGCAATAGCGAAGCCTAAAGTTCATCAATACTCGCGGGCGCATGGCTACGCATGGCTGTTTGCCAGCTGTTTGCCAGGAGCGATTCGAAGGAAGCAACTGATTAAAATGCATGACAGAGAGCATGGAAATCGTTTCACACAATAAGTTGTAAATCACCTTTTTCAAATTTTAAAGAAACGATAAGAGTGGGAAGTCCTGAAGTATAGGGTAAGTTGTAAGTTTATATTTATTGTTTATGTATGACTTTGCTGTTGATTTTTCGCCTGAAGGCCCTGAACATGTACAGCTTTCTATTGTATGTGAATTAACTTGGTTTAATTTTTTAGAAAGGCTCAAAAAAGGAGAGCAAATTATTTTCATGAGCAACCTGTATGATTTAAATTTATTTAATAGAGATGTTAAGATACCCCGGTTTCGGTGTACGTGTACGGATACCGCCATCTTGTTTTACATTTCCCCGGTCATATCTATCCTTATTCCCACGGTAGACTGAAGACATTTACCCGTCGACGAAAAAAAAATATTTAAAATGCCTAACTTCCTGACGAAGAGCCTTCGCTCTTATATTTTCCAGTTAGTCTATCTTATTCACATGGAAGCCTAATGTTTAAAAAAGGCTGTTGTTAGTACACTAGTGTTGTAAAGTCTCTGTGAACAGGTTATAAATAATTGTTTTTATTAGTAATTTATTATTAAATATCTATTTTTCATTTCTTTTCATATTAATAGACAATGTTTAGATGGCATTCTTGTCACGATGTGGACCAGTTGAGGGAAGTGGTTGCTGCTCGGCCCAAATCTATCAACGACTGGAATTTTATTGCAGCTAACCTTCAACATGCATGGGGTGATACAGTTCAAAATCCAATTAAAAGTCGTTCATGCAAAGAGCATTTTGAAGTGCTTTTAGGACATCACAAAGTTGGCAATGCTGCTGCACTAAACAACTAAGAATTTTAGTCGGAATATTCCTTAAAATTTAGTGTTATTTAGGGGGACCGGTCATTAAAGACAGAGAGGGGGGGATGGAGGAGAAACTAAAATTTTTAACAGAATTTTCCAGACCCCCTTCTATACTTATAAAATATTTATGGGACCCCTCACACATCTTATATTTTAAAGACCCCCCCCCCCTTCATGGATCACTTGTAAAATATTTTATATTGTGTTATGTTAATTAATACCGAGTATACTTGCCGCTTACCTACCTCCTCCACAGGCCATACAGCCCGTAATGAGTATGCCCGTTCGCAGATTGAAATTGGGACGAAGGCTTGCATAGCTGTAGGCCATACAGCCCGTAATGAGTATGCCCGTTCGCAGGTTGAATTTGGGACGAAGGCTTGCATAGCTGTAGGGCCTGCTGAATAAAATGTCGATTACTTGGCTTTTTGCGTCGATTACTTGGTTGATCAAATTTCTTCAAAAATAGGGCACATCATCTGCCAATCTTTAGCAATTCTGTTTTGCGAGTATTTTCGAAATACATCTTGGCAGTTATGGCGGATAAAAGCGACGAGAAGCTTCAGTGAATGGAAGGTTTTACAAGCAGTATAAGCGACAGTGATATAGACGGCGTTAATCTATCATTTGGCCAAATGGATGTTTTGACTATATACGTATATACACACGCATTTAAATGGTTACACTGTATGAAAGACCAATATAAATGGAATAAATTTCGTGGATAAACCGCATGCCTAACGTACGACGTGTTATAGAAAAGCGTGTTTGTCTGTTTTAGAATTTAATATGAAAATTAACTATTATTTATCTGCTTCTCTTTATAATTTTTTTTTTATTTTTTTTTTATTTTGTTTTTATTATTTTTTTTTTTTACAAACTTAGTCATAAATGACAGGTTAACCCTACAGAGCTTAATGCTCCATTTACAGGGTCCCTAATAATATGTATATATGTATATATAAAAAACAAACAAACAAAAAAAAACATTACATTATTTACAACACATTTTATCCACAAGACTGGACAACGGACGACACGAGTGACACTTGACACATATACTTTCAAATGTTTGTGGAGCATTAATGTTATATATTTCTTTAGTCATTGCTTCATAATAAGTTAACAGGTAAGATTTGAATTGGCCGACAGTAACGCTTGCTTCTCGAATATGTGGTGGTAGGGAGTTATATATTCTGGGAGCTCTATTATAAAAACTGTTCTGAAAAGTTAAAGTGTTAACTCTGGGAAGTTTTAATGTTACACTGTTAGTTGTAGCGCGCCTGGTGATACGATCGTTTGATACTATACTAATCTGAGAGTCATTCAATTTAATTGCCTTAAAGAGATACACCAAGTCCTGCAGGTACTCGTGCCAGTAAGACAGAGAAAGTAAACCAGTTTTCAATAGTCTCTCCTGGTAACTAGTTTCAGATCTAAACGGCAGCGATAGGATAAATCTCGTTGCACGTCTTTGAATCTTCTCGACTTCGAGGATTAAAGACACAGACTGCGGGGACCAGACTTGGGAGTTGTACGCGAAACAACTTCGTACTAACGTTTTATAAAGTGCGGTACGTGTACGAGGATCATGCATCTTAATGGAGGACCTTTTTACGAACCCAAGCATTCTGTTTGCTTTCGCACATACAGCAGAGACTTGTTGGTTCCATTTGAGATCTGCAGTAATGAGAACGCCAAGATCTTTTGAGAACGCCAAGATCTTTTTGAACAAGCCTTTTGCGGATAACCGTTGAGTTGGCTGAGTTATCGTTGTTGAGATGGTAAGATGACTGCATGGGTTTGAGATTCCTTGTTACCTTAAGAACTCTACACTTAGTTTCGTTAAGGTTCATGCGCCACGTCCGACACCATAGGCTGATTCCATCCAGATCACATTGGAGAGCTTTTACGTCATCTGTTGTTCTTATGGCATGATAACACTTGGTATCATCAGCGAACAGAGCAACAGACGATGTGGTGGACTTTTCGGGCAGATCATTCACGTATACAAGAAACAATAAAGGGCCAAGGATTGAACCCTGAGGAACACCTGATAGAACGGGTATTGATCGGGATGTTTTTCCTAAAATGGTAACTTTTTGATGGCAATCTGATAGATAGTTATGAAACCAGCTCAGCAAGTTTCCGCAAACTCCAAAATTACTAAGTTTCTTGAGAAGCAGCTGATAATCGACCCTGTCAAACGCTTTAGCGAAATCGAGATAAAGGACATCAGTTTGGATTCTCTTGTCGAGTGACTCACCAAATTCGTGTAGAACGTTTAGTAATTGTGATGTTGTAGACTTCCCCCTGAGAAATCCATATCGGAGGTTATGCAGTTCACTTGAGACATGGTTGATCAATTGGTCGTATATGCAACGCTCGAGCACCTTTGATACAATTGGAAGTAAAGATATGGGTCGATAATTTGAAACTTCGTTCTTTTGACCACCTTTAGGAATGGGTATTATATTAGAAACTTTCCATTCGGCTGGTACACTACCGGAAGTTAAGCTTCTATTGAAGAGATCAGCAAGGGATGAGGAAATGTATGGAGCACAACATCTAAGCAACTTTGCCGGAATTTTGTCTTGCCCAGTAGCTTTGTTGTCATCGAGAGAGAGAAGAGCACGTTGAACGTCATCAGGTGAGATGTTGATATCGCTTATGGGGTCACAGAAGGTGGTGGTGGACGCTGCATAGGCATCATAATCTTCTTGGGAAAGAGGTTTATTAAACATAGAAAAGAAGAAGTTGTTTAAGAGATTTGCAACGTCTTCAGGATTTTCAGCTATGACAGTTCCTTCATCACGCTTCCAACTCATTTTGTTTGGTACGCTAAATGAATTTGATGTAAATTTGAACAACGACCAGAATCGTTTTGTGTTTGATTTCATAAGAACAGGCAAAGACTGAAAGAACTCTTTTCGCTTACCGGATATCAGCGACTTACAGGAAAGGCGAAGGTTTCTGAAATTTTCCCAGAGATTGTTACTGCAGCAGCTCTTTTTGGCTTTTCTTCTAATCAATGTATCTTGTTTGTTCAGTGTTCACTGTTTTTATATATATTGCGGATCTAAAAGTATAAAAAGTTGAAGCGTTAAAACCGTTATTTACCTTTACTGAGGAGCCGCCATGTTTGTTTTTTTATCCGGATTCAGGAACAAACGGGAATCTTAAGCGGAATTTGTCACCCGGTCTTACGACTACCAGTACGCGTAAAATACCCGTACCCGTAAACCGGGGTATCTTAACCTCTCTAATTTCAAAAACAAAGTACGAGTAATAAGTTGAGGAATGTACGGCAAAAAGCAGTTAATTTCAATGAACATTTAAAACCTTTTACGAAGCATTTCGTGTTGAATTTTACATTAAACTGGTAAAGCCCAAAGAATGCAAAACAACATATCGACGGTAGTTTTGTAGTTAAAAGTGTAAAACAATAATATAGTTTTGCAATTTTGTACAAAAAATTTAAAAACTGTGATCCTATTGGTTGCCATGGCTAACATAACGCGAGCAACGCGAGCCTGCGTTCAGTGTAGGCGTATTCAAGAATACTTCATGTTGAAACAATGTTTGGAAAATTTGGCGTGGGTTTGTTGCATGCATGTATTTTCTAGTTTGTGATATGTAATAGGTTTTCTTCATTCTAATAAAACGTTCATTTAATGTTTTTATCTGCATAGATATATGACATATATATATATATATATAGATATGTTTCTGTAATTCTGACATGTCTTGTTCATAGTGCCTTTTCAAATTGGACCAATCATAAGTTTTGTTTTGATGTGTTTATCGAGCCTAGCTAGGTAACTACGAAGTCAAACTGACCTCATTATCTCATTGTACGAATATTCTCGAAATTGTACATTGTCTGATAAAAATACATGTATATCTTAATTAATACATTTTGACACCTTAATATATCTTGTACTTTCAGTCCAGAGATTCTAAGTACGCATTAAAGATACATGTTCAAAGCTTAACTACATATTATATTCTATACAAATTATATTATACATATACAGTAGCATTGGCATTCCATTGCCGGCTAATTGATTAACCCCTGTAGTTTGAAAAAAAAGTGAAGTGTCTATAGTATATCATAATAGGTAAGGCGGTTGCTTTCTATTAAAGCAATTGTGAATTTCCTTATCTTTTCAGTTGAGACTTGAGAAAGGCAATAAGAGGGAAGGCAATTGCCTTGGCTGCCAAGTTTATTCTGATTCAATATGAAAACTACAAGGACACTGATTGCCGTCTTAACACTTTTAGTTTCTTTGGTCAGTTATGTTTCTGGTAAGTTTCTCATGTCTTTTAATAAAAAAACTTTTTCCTTGTTTTGAACTCAGTCAAATTAATTCGAAATGCGACTAGTTGCGAGGCAATCCTCAAATCATAACGCGCGGTTTACATTATATCTTGAAATAGGCGTTTTAATTAAATTAAACATCTTTTCACGTTCTAAAGATTCGAGATGCGAGCTATACTTACTATAAAAAGAGCACAGTACACGTTTCTTTATTTTGATTCTCTATGTTTCAACTTTAAGGCCAACTACTGCATACTGATTAATAATCACTGAAGTATGATAGTTGCCTGCTATCAAATGTTCGTGTGTTGTAAACTTTAGATCCTATACGATTAAAATTGAAATGAGCAGAACATAAAGCCTTTAGCGACAGGAAATCCGCGCGCAAGCATGAGAAAGATATTGCCTGCCGCGGCAGGATTTTGAAGCCGCGACCTTCGAATTACTAGATCATA